GTGTAAGCTCCTCCCACTGTCCCTAGCCAACTGTCCCGACTCTCTGTTCTAGGTCACCTCAGGGGCATATCAGAGCCAGTGTGTATTTGCCAGTCTTCAACTTATTCCCAGATTTAAGCTCGGGCTTAATGCCAGCATGCTGCTCATGCAGCCAAAACCCCAGAACAGCAATAGTTTTGACTCACGAGGTCATTTTTTCCTCTGGCTCACTTCCCTGCCATGCAAACACTGGGAGGACGTGACAAGGAATGGTGATCACGTCTTTCTGCAGCCACCACCACAGCAGCAGGCAAGGTCACGACATGGCAGCCTCTCTTGCTTCAAGCAGGAAACCCCCCAGATGAGTCTGAAGCACCCTTGGATGCAGCAAGAAAAAACCACAGGGCTTTGTGCTGCTGGAGCTGGGACATGCTTGAAGACCCTGTGCCTCTGACTCAGCTGCTTGCTGCCTGTGACCGGGCTCTCAGGTGCTGTCACATCCTTTGGTTTCCAACAAGAGCTAAAGCTGCGAGACAGCTCCAGGCATTGATGTGCCAGTGCAGCTCAATCTGCATGGAAACACTTCAGCTGCAGCTCAGCTTCCACCTCAGATGAGGCAGCTGTGTGCCACTCAGGTCTTCCAGGCATTAACTTGTGCATATCATCCTGCCTGGTGCCTTGGGGCCTTCCAGCCCCCTTCACCTGGCTTGGAGGAAGCCTCTGAATGTCTGTGCACACACTGAGCCCCTCAAAGCCATTCATCCCAGGACACCCGCCTATCACCAACCCCCTGACTCCCTCCATATCTCTGGGCAACCACAAATTCACCTGCAAGATCACGGTGAACATGGGGTCAGGTTTGATGTGAGAGGGCCACCCAGCCAGAGCAGAAATCATGAAACCTTTCTCAAAACCAAAGAAAAAAGTCTTGGCTGGAAGAAATGGACATGGTCAGGCAACCTCAGTCACATTCTTCCTGCTTGTAGCACGTCCATAAATCACAGCATAAACAATGTACTGAGCTCAGCTTAATCCCAGGCCTGCTTAAGTGTTATTCCAGTCTTTCTTAACAAGTTTTTCCACTGGGCTTTAGCGTCTTTTAGCCTTTCATCAGCATCATTCTGAGATGACCAGACTCAGGTCAACGCCTATCTTTAAAGCAACACCAGTCTCCCAATACTACTCTCCCGATGTAGGTAGAAGCATGGGAGAAGATGGAGTTTATCAAACTTGCCTTCCCCAAGGTCTGCAGTAGAGGACAAAACTTCAGCAAGGGCCACAGAAATGCTTCCCTGCTTAGCTGCAGGAGGTGAGGGAGCTACAGCAGGATGCAGAAGGCACATGGGATGCATGGCAGGGCATCAGCTGGGGATAGTCTGGTGGGAAAGCAGACTAACCCACCTTCTGGGTGCTACTGCAACTTAAAAAAAAAAAAACAAAACATTAGAGAAGCTTTGCTGAGTTGATCAAAAATGAAGGAAATGTGTATAGTGAGTTAAATTAAAGAGCAGAATGAAAAAGCTGACTTTGGATCTAAATATAGCTGTGAAGAGCTTTTGCCAAAGGAAGCAGAAGTTGCCAGCAACATATGTGAAAATGTCATTAATTTCTCTAATAATCTGCACTTGCTGCAAATGATATAATTTTTGTCTATTAGTGAGAGAACAAGTGCAATCAAATACACACGAGCTCTATTTTGCAGGCTTCCCAGGAGGGATGGCAAGAAGTCAGCTGGAGCAGTAATGCATGAGCAGGTGACATCTCCTAGAGCTCCTCCTGAATGGGGCTGTCAGGAGCTGGGAGCCGTCACTGAGACAGCTGGGACCATGCTGGGGTCAGTGCTCCTCTCCAGACCGTCTCCAAAACCTGTCTCCTGTGCTCCTCTGGCTGCTCAGAGAGAACCAAGGGAGAAATCAGAGAGAAAATATCTTGAGATGCAGCCACTGGATGAATCATACAGCAAATTGGCCATGGATACATGGATACATGAGGACAAGGTGTGCTTTTTAACATTTTCTGTACTGGCTGGTGCAGTCCTGCTGCAGGAGAAGCTACCCCACTCATGATGGCCAGGCCAAGTCTTGCTGATGTCAATTGTGGTTTTTTGGCAGCATCAGAACATCTTCATGTTGACTGCAATACACTTCTACCCATTTGTGGAATGGTTTGTGCTACCAGAGCAATGTACAATGGCCCACAGAGTAAAATCAGGAGCTCTCTCCTTCCATATCATGCCCTGCTCTTGTCCCTTCTGCTGACACTCTGGGCCAGTGTCCTGACACCCATCTCAGCTCTCCTGCACCACTCAGAAGAAGAGATCAACTTATTACTCCCACTTTGCAAACTGGAAATGGGGCAGCAAGAGGTGAAGCAACCTGACACAGTTACTCAGGGATATATGCAATACACCCTGGCTTCCAACACCAACCACATCTCATCCCTCTGCCCTCCTCTCCTTGCCAACCTACAGATCTAGGCAAGAGCTGCAGGCACAGTGCCAGCCTGAGTCTCCACTTCCTTACAATGCCCTCTACCATGAAAAATAATTTTCTAACTGTGGGATGAGTGGTAGCTCATCTGGATCTGCTGAATATCCATAGACACCAGCATGGTGAGAAGACAGAAGCCTACAGGAGCAGGGCACAGCAAGCGTGTCCCTGACCAGACCCTAAAGCCACCCAGGTCCTTCAGTGGGCCAGAGAATAAGTAATAGGGGACAGAAAGAGGGCAAACACCTTTTAGGTGGGTGCCAGAGCTTTTAACATATTTGCACACCTTCAGCAGCCCAAAAGGAACATTGTTCTATTTGCTCTCTACATCCCCCCAGCCTGGGAGCTGGCTCTTGTTATTTATTGCATCTGCTTGTCTCCCATCTTTAGGACACGTCTGCCCTGAATTCATCCTCCCTTCCCCCCACCAAACTCAAAAACAGCCAGAAATATCTTGCAATCTCTTCTGCTTCACCTGTAATTTGTCTCATGCTGGCAATGAGGGAAACCGTCTGCCTTTGTCAAGATCAAAAACGCCACAGTGGCCATGTGATGTCAGCTTTCGTTAACCCCGTCTCTCTCCCCTTCGCCCGCCTCTCCAGACTGTTGCAGAGTGGCAGACGTGTCTTCATTCTCCTGCAACCTTCTTTCTGCCCTGGCACATCTCCTGCCTTTTGGAGGTACCCTGGTTCAAAGGGCAGGGAGAGCCAGCACCAGCAGGCAGCAGAATGGGCTCTGGACCTCCTTCCACACCACAGTGGAGCCAAACTCAGGGTTGAGGCAAAGATCAGGAGATGCAGCAAGGTGGACACTAGGCCACTGAGGTACACTGGACCTCTGAGGTTTTACATAACTGCATGTCATCCTCCTGCTCTAACCTCGGAATGAGGAAAACTGAGCCTATCTCTGTCCCTGCAGTGCCTCTGCCCAGGCCCCTTCCTGCCTGTATCACAGGCAGGGGAGCACTGGGCTGGGGAGAGGCTGACCAGATTTGGGGGGTGAGGGGGAAGGCACCCAGGAAGGGGCAGGATGGAGGTCGAGCCTGCTGGAGCTGCTGCAAAACCTCATACAGGATAATTCAGTGTGCAAAGCCAGTTTCTACTGCCACACAGTGTTAGGGAAATTCCCTTCCCTAGCTATGTTATCAAGCAGTCTTTATATTATGAAAGTGTATTAACTATGTTAACATTTTCCCCTCATACTTGGTACTGGTGAGGCCACAGCTCAAATCCTGTATTCAGTTTTGGGGCCCTCACTACAAGAAAGACATGGGGGTGCTGGAGCATGTCCACAGAAGGGCAGAGAAGGAGCTGATGAAGTGTCCAGAGCACAAGTGTTGTGAGGAGCAGCTGAGGGAGCTGGGGTTTGTTTAGCTTGGAAAAAACGAGCCTCAGGAGCCTTATCACTCTCCACAGCTCCCTGGAGGGAGGCTGTAGCCAGGTGGGGGTTGGTGTCTGTTCCCAGGTAACAAGCAGTAGGATAAGTTGCTCCAGGAGTGGTTTCTACTGGATATTAGGAAACATTGCTGCACTGAAAGGGTGGTCAGGAAGTGGAACAGGCTGGCCAAGTGTGAGTTGGAGTTACCATCCCTGAAGTGTTTGAAAAGGTGTGGCATGTGGGGAAAAGGTTGTTTTGAACATGACAGTGTTGGGTTAATGGTTGGACTTGATGATCTTAGAAGTCTTCTCAATCTAACGATTCTATGATTCCATGTATTAGTGCACATTATAAATTGCAATGTAAGGAGGCAGTGGAATTTTACTGAAGTCTTTGCTGTTGTTCAGGCTTGAGTAAACAAACAGGCAACAGCTCATGGCAAGGGCCATGGAGCAGCACAGCCCTGGAAATGGGGCTCTGCTTCTCAGAAGCTAAAGGCTGTTCATGATCCCCCTGCACAGCCAAGGCAAGGCCAGTGTCCTCCCCTCAGCATCCCTCCGGTATTACCGGTGGGTGCCTCAGGCCCAGCTGATCCCTGGGATGTCTGGATGGCACAGGAGCAGTGCTGCTTTGCAGGGTTTTATGGTGCCTGGCTGTCCTTGGTGGTCTGTCACACCCGAGTGCTCAGAGGGGCCCCACGCTGCACCCCTGCATCACTGCAGTCCACAACCTCCTCCTGAGGGAACCGCATGGGCAGCACGGGTCTCTGGCAACCAGCAAAAACCCAGGGCAATGGCCTCAAGCACTGTCAGAGGAGATTTAGGCTGGATATTAGAAAAAGTTTCTTCATCCAGACAGTGGTCAGGCACAGCAACAGGCTCCCCAAGTGGTCACAGCACCAAGCCTGACAGAGTTCAAGGAGCATTTGGACGACACTGTCAGGCACATGGTGTGACCGCTGGGGCCTGTGCTGTGATCCCTGTGCAGGGCCAGGAGCTGGACGCGACGATCCCTGCGCGTCCCTCCCACGCGGGGACAGCCCGTGAGGCGATGGCCGCCAGCCCCGCAGCGCCCCCTGCCGCCCGTCGCTAACCGCGCCCGCCCCGCCCCGCCCCGCAGACCCCGGCCCCGCCCCGCAGGCCGCGGCCCCGCCGCTCCACGTCGGCGCGAGGCGGAGCGCGGCTGCCGTTTGAATTCCGGCGGGCCGGCGGCGCCGTCTCCCGCGGGGATGGCGGTGCTGCGGCCCTTCAACAAGCTCCCGCCGCTCAACTCCGGCGTCCTCCTGGTAGGTCCGGCGGTGGCGCCGCTCCGCGGCCCGGCCCCACCGTCCCTTCTCCTTCCCTTTCCCGGCGCGGCCCCGCTCCCTCTGCCGGGTCGGGCCTGGCTGGCCGGGGCCGGTATGCGAATGCGCGCTGGCCGCGCTCTCCCTCTGCCCGCAGCTCGTGGGCTCGGACGAGGCGCTGCAGCAGAAGCTGGCGGAGGCGATCCTGCAGGAGAACAAGGACTTCAACATCAGCATGTGAGTGAGTGAGCGAGCGAGCGAGCGGCGAAGAGCGGGATGCGCCGCCTGCGGCCCGGGCCCGCACGGGGCCGCTGCCGCCCGGTCCCGGCGGGGCACAGCCAGCGGCTGCGACGCGGACTCACGGAACGCTTCAGATTCGCGATGCGCCGAAATTGGTTAAAAGCGCGGGCTCCGTGCCCGTGGCAGGAGCTGGAGCTGTAGAGCACACGGTTCAGAGAGAGACTTCGCTCTTGCGAGCGCTAGAGAGCAGCAGTGCCCAGATGTGGCCGCATCTGCCCGGGCAAACCCCTCTGTGCTCAGGGCAGTTTGGGCGTGCTTGGAAACGGGGGAAGCATTTCCCACGTTCGTGCTCACAATGCGCATAGCCTTGCCTTTTACGTGTTGCACAGACGTTTGATTACTAAATTGGAAAGGTGTGAGAGCAAAACATTTTTTTCCCCCGCCCGAGAGACAGAAATTAAACATCCTGGGACAAAATGGGACAGGTAAAATGCTTGCAAGTACTTGCAGGAGAGCAAGTGTTTCTGAAAGATGTCCATTGCTTTGGATGCTCTTTGTAGCTGTTTTCTGGTTTGTATGCACATGTGTGCTTTTCCTCCTCGAGCTATTAAGATACACTTGGAATTCCAGCTTTAGCCACATGACATGTCCTGTCTTAAAAGCTTGATTAACTAACTTTTTACAATAAAATGTCCTTGACAGCTCTTTTGCCAAGACCAAATGAGTTTAGTCAGCTCTTCAGAAGGTGTTTGTGTTATTTCTCTGCTGTAATCCATGGCTATGCAGTAAAAGCAACCCAAGCTAATGTTCTGCTGGCTAATTAGAGTGACTGTAGTGCTCTGATTGTGGCATCCTGGATGTCTGTGCTAACTAATAGTAAATGAATTACCCCATTTTCTATGCGAAACCTGCAGCCTCTGCTGAGCTGTGGAGTGCCATAACTAGATGGCTGCTGGTACTGCAGCTGGGTAACTGCCCAAAGGCACAGAATCGTGTGCTTGTGCTGCAGAGCAGGATACATCCCTGTGTAAATATTGCTAAAAGCAAATATTTAGCAAATAAAGCAAAGCCAGTGGGGTTCTTTCCCCCACTGAGTTGCTTTGGGATTGTACACATTACAAACAAATACGGTATCTAACCTGACAGGTCTACCTGTCAGGTACAGCTGTTGGGTGAAGAATTACAGGGCTTGGGTTTTTGTGTCTCTTATTGCTGGGTGGGGGGAAGGCTTCTGCAGTGCATGTCTGGAGACTGCTGTCATCATCTAGTCCTGTTGGTTTAAATATAACAGGATTCCAAACAATGCAGTGCTTTTCTGGGTCACTTTTATCTTCCCCCTCAAGGAGATCTGATACTTTCATCAAAGAGTCTCTCTAAATTTCACCTTAACTTAATTAGCTGGTTTGTGTTTCAATTAATAAGCAGTGTGTCTTTCAAGCTCACTTTGCTCATCTCTTGTGTTAGTTTCAGAATGTTTTTGTTAAATCATATCTCCCATAAGCAGAAGAAACAAAACACCTTTATTTGGAGACTAGCAAACAAAACTACAAACTGTATAGGATTAATAGAAGGGAATGTGTGCCGTGGTCTGTGGCTGCTGGAGAACACTGTGAAGTCCTTGAGATTGAATTGCTAGAAGTAATATTCCCCAAGAAGTCCAGAATCAGTGTTTCTTCCTTGGCTTCCAGAGAGGAAGTAGATTGTGAGATTAACTGAACTTCTGGGATGTTTGTTTTCCCAGTTTAAACTAAGGTGATCTTCCAAAAATGCAGTGCTGATAATGTTCTTTCCTGTGGAAGATCCAGTTATGTACTGCTGAAACCTTTTTTGGTTGAATTTTTGGTTGGTATGCTTGTTTGGTTTTTGTTGTTGTTCACTGTTTGTGGTTGTTTGGCTTTTTTAGAGATGCAAAAATCCCCACCCTGTATTTCTTCCAACAGCTCCAATTAGCAGTGCTAGTAACGTGTAGAAGGATGCCCGAACTAATCTAGTAGCTTCTGACATAGCAAAAGGGTTAAAAGGGGGGGTAATGATCTAATAGAAGCTCTTCTTGAGTTATAACTTCATCTATAAAGCTGTTCTAGTGACAAATTTGTGGTTTAAGGTTCTTCTGTACCTGGAAAGGTCGCCTCTGCTGTGTGAGCATATGAGCAGTGTCTCTGGAACGTGACAGAAAAGCACTGATGCATTTTAACTGAAACTTGGCAGCAAAATATTCCAGTAAAGAATTGGGGTTTGCTTTGTTAGAAAGGACTCTTTGTAACAATTAAACTAAATGACTTGCCATAGAGATCTGCACAGAGAAAATGTTTCTGTGAGTCTTGTTATGCTCTAATAAGCGTCCCATTATAACCAGCCTTGTCTAGCAATTACCATTGTGCCTGTCAGCAACTATGAGTGGGCCTAAGATATGAGAGTACCACTTAAACAATCACAGTGCCTCTTCAATGCCCACGTATTTAGTAATTAGCAGGCTTCCTGGTAACTTGCTACAGGGTGAACTGCAGAGGTTGTGTGATTATGGGAAAGGTGGGTACTGTCTTACCAAGCTAGTTGGTTAAACTGGCAAATTTGTTATCTTTCAGTCACCTGGCTACATCCCTCCCCTTACCTTCTGAGAGGGATCATCTTCGACCCAGGATAGATCTGGTTGTGTTTATGATTGACATCAAGAGCAAGTACAGGTAAGAGAAGGCCAAAAAGATGAGAGGGGAGACTAATATTTTTTCTTGGTTTGATGGCTAAATCTGCATTTTTACTGTACTGGAATTGCTGAATAGTGGGTTTCAAACCCAAGACTTGCTGTGGTGGAAGAATTCAGTAATTTTTACAGTGGCTTTCTGGCCTCCAGCAGTGGATTAGGACTGAACTGCTCTGTCCAATAAACATGTCTGTTGTGCACTAAGTTGCCATAGCAGAGAAGGCAGAATTTATTTCTGGATCTGGATTGGTGACAATATGAACTGAGCTTTGGAAAGATGCTGTCTGTAGAATTAGATGGAGGTGCTGGTGTGCTGTGAAGTTCTGTATTATGCAGAAGTCTGATGTGCACTGGGCAGTGCTGCCCAATAACCAGCAAGTGGCTGTGTCCTCAGTTCACTGATACTCCTGGTCAGTGGGATCAGTACCATGGATATCTCTAGGCAAAAGAGAAAGGTCTGCAGGGATTGATCCCTTTTCTATCATGTGCTCGCCTTTGTAGAAATGATACTTGTTTCCCCAGGCCACAAGTAAAGACTTGCTAAGGCACAGAAGTCAGCATTTTATTGCTTACTTAACTTGTGACTGATGATCCTGGGCTCTCATTTACCAAAAATGACAGGCCCAGCTGCATACTTACAGCACAGATGGTGCTGCAGAAATGTGTGGGCAAGCGCTTCCTGAAAGAGCCGAAGTGGTGCTGAAGTTTCATTGGATATTAATGAATTCAGATGCTTAGTGTCTGTAAATCATGGAGGACACTGTTCAAACTAACTCTAACTGTTGAGTCTTGAGTAGAAAGGATATGTTATGGGTTATTAAACAGCTGTGGGTATTACAGAGGTCTCTGATGTCATGCTTTTAGCATAAAGCAGAACTTTGCGAGCTCACAAATCAGCAGATGTTAACATCATTGTTTTTCTAATTGTGCCTCTGAAAATTATTCCTGTTATCCTTATGCTGCACTGGTTTAACCTCCCTGTCCTACTGGATTGCCTGTACTTTTCTGACAGCTTGAAGAATGTCGAAACTTCCCTAGCCCATGTGGATGCCAGCTTCTTCCTGGGGAAAGTGTGCTTTCTTGTCACTGGGGGTAGGTATGGCACCTCTTCCTCCTCTTCAAGCAGCACAGCTCTTTCTTGGTTTTCTTAAAACAGGGCGCTGACTTAACTTGAAACAAACTAAAGGAAACCGGTGGCTTTGTTGCAACTTTGTTTAAATTATTTCTGAACTCCTCTGCCTTTTTTATTATTTTCCTAGATAAAACACAGTTCTCTCATGCTCACTTGCTCTCAGCTTTTTGTTTTTGTCAGTCAGACCTCTCTTCTCTGTCCCTAATCCCTGAATATGATTTGTGTCATTGATTTTTTTTGTGTGTGTGTGGCAGTCCAGAAGTCTGTTCTATCTGCTCTTGCAGATCTGCCTTAATGATAATCTTAATGAGCAGTGAGAAGCATATGATACTGTGGTAATAAAGTGAATCTAAATGGATGAGCTACAAAACTATCAAGTATAGTTTTAATACAGGGCTAGTATCCCTGCTGTGTACTGTCTGTCCATGTTGTGCCTCTAATCTTTGTCTCCCAGTGCTTTCCTGTGTACCCTCCCTGCTTCAGCTCTGAGGAGCTGGAGGGGCCAGACTGTACTGCTCAGTCTTGGAATATAGGTGCTGTGTCCCTGGAATTTGGGGGTCAGGAGGCCTAATTCTGAAGTAGAGGAGTCTTAGCATTGTCTTGTGTTATGGCTCTCTTGATGAAGTGAATTCCTTGGAGACCAAACCACTCTGATACCATATGAGTCAGGAGGACTTTTGGTAAGTGAGTGGAAGCTGATGGTGTGCTGATACCTTATGCAGAATGTTAATGGTACATGAAGAGTGATGTGGTGCTGTTCCTGCTGTTAGTATTATGAAAGACTTCTGTGCTAATTCTGTTTCAAAACTTGTACCATTCTGTTTGCACTGCTCACTTTTGCCTTACCTTCTATTATGCTCTCAAAATTAGCTAAATCCACTCCTCAACTCTGGATTGTTCTCTGGATGTGGAATTTCCTCAAACTTTTCTTCACTGATTGCTGATTATGAGGCTTGTAATGTGGGAAAATGTTTGTTTGTTTTTTTTAGTTGGCAGGGTGAATGCTTGCAGCATTGAGACAAATGCTATCTGTAAATTAGGAGAAGCCTACTGCAGTCCTGTGCTATTCTGTGAGCTGGAGGTAAGGTGCTTATTTGACATCTCAAGAGATTTCCGAATTCCACTGCTCTGTGGTTGTTAGAAACATCATTATTAGCATATTAGCAACAAATGCATGTAACAATAAATACATAGGCTGCTGGCCTTCATAAGTGTCAGAGATCAGACTCTGTCTACAAGAACAGTAGAGGTATAGGAGTCTGGCTGTCCTTGGAATGAGTCTTCTAGTAATCTGGTCCTTCCTGTGCTACTTCAAAACCTCATGAAGCCAAGCCTAAGCTAACAAAAACCATCTCTGATATGCAAAGCCTTGATACACTTGTTCCTTGCTGCATTTTCTCTTCCTGGGAGCCCCTGAGCTATTATTTGCCATGTGACTCCCTTGCCCATGTAATGTTTTGTGTCAGCCAAACTTTGTGGCTTCACTGACGATTTTGCCATCTGATATGCCACTCTTTCCAATTACCTGCTTGGTTTAAAACGTTGGAGGGAGAGTTTGGCATTCAGCAGCAGCACACTTCACTTTTCTGTGTACTTGTCACTGCATGCTCAGAGACTGTTTCCCTACCAGCAGGTAGAATCTGTGCCTTTGGCAAGCCCTTCAGCACTTCCAGCTGGCAGCACTGTACCTTCCTTAACATTAGGGAAGTAAATGGGCCTGTTTGGGGTTTTCTGCAGCTAGCCACTTGATGCCTGCTCTGGTTCTTTCTTTTATCAAAGCTTACCGTTGCTTTTCTTCTTTTGTACTGATTAAATAATTTCTCCATTTTGTTTCCAGTTGGAAGGCATTCGAGTGGCTACTGCTCAACGACTTGTGCGAATGTTAGGAATCTGTGCCGGTCACATACCGGGAGTTTCTGCCTTGTCCTTTGTCTCGCTGATGAGGAGGTCTGATGATAATTAGCTTCTCATTGTGATACTTCACACACATTCATCAGGTTTTTTTCACTTCAGGCATTCAAGCTGCTGCAGTTGGAATCACATTGGGAAGCTTTTTTTGAGTGACTTGTCATGGCCACTCATCCAGAACTGTTCCTAGTTGCTTACCTCTCAATAAAAGTTTGATTCCTATTGAGTGGATAACAGATAGGGAGGGGAGTTTGAATTGGGAATTCTGATCCATTATTACACCTGAATCCCATTTCATGATCAAGTTTGAGTCTTTTCCACTTGGCCAGTGGCCAGGAGCTACATGTTTTTCTGAGAGAATATTAGAAGAGCAGGCTACTGTCTCCAACGTACCAGAGAAGAGGCAGCAGGCTCCTTCTTGCAGTTGAAATGCAGCACCTTAGTCTAATGTGAAACCTTGCTGCCAGGTTTTGTCTGTCCACCAAGAGAAGAATGGGGAAGGAAGGCTGGCCTGGAGCTTCTAGATAGACTGCACTTGGCAGTTAATGATCCAGCTGTGTGAGCATCTGCCCAGCGAAGACTTGCTATTTCCATGTCCGCTACCTAATTGGGAAGGAAGGGACTAAAGAAGATAATCTATCTAGCACTTCAGCTTTCTTTTAGATCCTCAAAGAAAAAGACTCCACCTGTCAAGCCCAAAGACAGCTCCAGTAGTGCAGCCTCTGGGGCTGACCAGAGGTGAAACCCAGCAGCCAGGACCACGGCAGCACACAGAAAACAGGTTGTCTCAGCTGCTTTGGCATATGCTGTGTATAATCCCTTTACTAACAGGTTCTGACCAGCTGTAAGTTGTGCCTTGTGCTTACTGCAAGTCATTAAGGTTTGAGTGTTCTAATTTAATAAAAGAAGTAATATGTAATGGTTGTATGCTCTTTATTAGCAATGTGGCATGGGCTCTAAAACCCGCAAACGCTTGCCCCAGTTTGCCCTGGCAGGCTGGTCCTTGCTGGCAGCTCAAACTCCCAGTTAGGTGTTTTGCTGCACTCGTGGCTTCAACCATGTGGTGGTGGCAAAAGCTTTTCAAATACAGCCCTTTCTGTTCATTGAGTTGAGCCACCTGCCAGAATACAGTGCTTTTTGAAAGGCTGAGATGTTTCTTACCCAGCAATGAAGCCTAGAGAGAATGTGTTAAGCTCCCCTCTGGTTTAATTTATTTAATCCCTAATAGTCTGCTTTAATGTTCCTAGGTGCAGAGCTCTAGCTGTGTGCACTGTTTCGGTTAGCTTGTTTCTGACATCTGTCTGTGAGCAGGAAAAGCAGAAAGCAGCACTGCAGGCTTAATCAGCTGTGAGTGTTGGCAGTCCTTGCAAAGACAGCTCAGCAAGGCACAAAGCCTATATCCTTGCTCAGAGGACACACAAATCCCAGCTCCAGTTGTATTGTTGCTGATGGGGGAGGGCTAGGGTGTTTGTCAGCTGAAACAAAAGGAGCTAAACCATTCAGCTGTGTTATGATGCCCAAAAGGGCTGGACTCTGGCTAAAACCCAAAGGAGAAAGACATGTGCAAACTGTCGTGGCTGTGTAAGGAGGATTGGAAGCTTAATGGGCATGCCCTACTTTCAGCTAGCTTTGCCATCCTGAAGGTACTAACCAGCACTTGGCCACCAGAGAGGGGAAAATCATGCTGAGAAACAAGTTTCTGTGTTGGTTATGCTGTCTCAGCCTTGCTCTTGCTTTGAGTCCCTCAAAATAAAGGAGACCATGGCTTAGAATAGGCTGGTTTCAATTTGCTCTCGATGTGCAGGTGCAGTCTGTGGGAGGAAGGGAAGGGAAGTGGCATAAAATGAGCCACTCTTTTGTGTCCTCTGCAACTCCTATAAGGCAAGGAGACTTTTCCATATCCTAGGTTGCTCTCCAGTTCACTCTACTAACAGATGGACTCAGGTTAAATCCCTTGGTCTCAAGAGTAATTTCACTGTGCTTTTTTAACTAGTGAAAATGAAACTTTTTTTGGTCCACCCAGAATGCTTTGGAATAACCCACATCTGCTACTGTCCACTCCTGCACCTTCAAGCAGGGCTTTTTTTCCACTGTTATGTTTCAGATGTGGTATTTCTTTCCTTCTAGTACTTTCAAAGAAGAAAGATGCTGTTTTTACTTCCTACAGGTGGCTGAATCTCAGCTGGTACATAATAAAATCTAGTTCCTTAAGAGCAGCATCTTGCTTCACCTTGGGGCAAATATTTTTCTTACTCTTAGGAGAAAATATTTACTAGAACTGGCAGGGGAAGCAGAGCGTATCTAAGAATCTGACACTGTGTCTCAGGTCCATCATGTTTTACAACCCAAAGTAGTTGGGACACATCTAAAGCTACATCTTCAACTATGTAAATACCTCTAGGAGCTGTCAGCTATTAGTTTAGACAGGCCATAACACTGCCCTTACTACCAGAGGAGACAAGGCAGCTGAGGATATCTTTCATCTGGATGGAGTAGCCAGGGCTAATTTTTGAAAAAGGTCCTGTCAAAGTAGTACTTGGATTGGGATCAGAGGCATGGAAGACCTGAAGGCTAGTTACTCAGGCTCTGTTGTGTTCAAACCTCGTGAAAGAGCTTGCCAAGCTGACTGAAATCTTAACCAATAGAAACATTTTGAAGTTACTTTCTTTCTCTTCTTCTCTCTTGCTTCAGTTCCCTATCCCTGTGGAGATTTTCAAAGAGGAATCCCCCTCTCTGTGGTGAAAGTACCTGTTAGCGTTGCTGGTTTGACTCTTTCAGTTTGTGGATGTTTCTGTTTGTCAGTTATGTCAGCAAAATTAGAATAAAAGCAGTTTAATTAGTATATAAGAGCTCATACCAGTTGCACTGCTGTAAGCTTTGGTTTCACAGTGCTTTTTTGGGGGGATGGAAGTAAATGAGATTGTAACATGGCCTCCTCTGCTACGGCAGGTTGACCCACAGGACTTCATTTGCAATCCAGGCCCTTGAAGGAGATTTTGCATCCTCAGCTGCTAGCCAAACAGCTCACAGAGGTGATCTGTGAGAGATTTCGGCACAAATCGGCTTGCTTGGCATTACCTGGTGGGATTACAGCTCTCTGCTGTGCCAGGTTTTCTCACTGACTCTGTTGCACCAGCAGTTAAATCAGACCAACTTTTAAGCATGATAAAACATGATATATCTGTACCAATGGGAGAGAAAATCTGCGATTTGAAATGGCACCAGTAGGAAAAGATCTCTGTTCCTGGAATAAAGATCAGAGATAAATCCAGCTCTGGGGATATATCTGTCCCTTCCAAACCTTGAAACTGGCAGTAGAGTTTTAGATTCAAGGCCACCTCTCCTATTTGCTTTGGGGACTGGTTAAAACTGGATGTCTTTGCTTGCCAAGACCGGTAGTTTGAAGGGAGTGGCTGGCTCAGGTCAGCAGTGGTGCTTAGCAGCTGTGGTCAAGCTGCAAGAGCTCCTGGGTTGCTCTCATCATGAGCACTGTCCACAGCAGTGGTGGACAAGAAAGGACTCCTGCTCTGCTGCCTGGAGCTGACTGGCAGAGCTGTGGCAGAGGTCAGCTCTGCTCTGCTGCCAAAAGCAAGGAAGAGGCTTCGTCCTGTGGGGTTTCTAACTTGTCTTGATTGTGCAGGAGCACTGGCTGGCTTCCAGCTGCTCTGTTTCCATTCAGCTGGCCCAGATCCCCTGGCAGTCTCCTCTGCACTCTGAGTGTTCTCCACTCCCCACCCTAAGCCGGTGTGCAGTGTTGCTGTGGGCTGCTGAACCACTGCCACTTTCCATTCAGTGGCCAGCTGTCCTTCACTGGTGGGGAAAAGTGATTTATATGCAAGAGAAGGCAAGAGCTGGTACAGCCCAGAGGCAGGAGCCAAAACCACTGGATTCGTTTCACTTCTGTGGCTGATTTCTTGCATCACCCTGGGCACAGGAGTGAAAATTCACTGTGCCTCGCTTGCTCTGCTTCTACAGTACAACCTGCCTCCACTGGGGGTGTGTAATGAGGGCAAATTGACATTACTTTGGAGTCACAAATATCTGGAATTGAGAGAAAAAAAAACATTTTATTTCTCTTTAGCGGAGTTTGACTTTTACCTAAGTTCTGTGGGTGAGGGTTTCGTGGGGCCTGCTGGCCGGGCACCTCCTGAGATCAGCTGGTTTTGGGCTGCTCACATGCCTGACTCCGCTGCAGGGAGGCTGCCTGAAACTGGCTGCAATCCTTCTCACAAGGCATTGCGGCATGGTTAGGTTTTGGTGTGAACTGGAACGAAACCACCCTCTGAAATGCTGAAATTCCCTGCACAGTTCAATTATCCTTGAATTGGCCAGCGGGGAAATCAAAGTCTCTGGATCTGTTCCTCGCTGTTAAATATTAATACAGCACGGCGATACTAGGCAGGAAGGCATCCCCTCGGGTCAGCTCTGTGCAGGAGGGGCTGTCTTGGCTGTGAAGAACCGGTGTGCAAGAGAGGTCGGGCACGGGGGACTCTGGAGTGATGTGACATGCTCAGCTCCTTGGCAGCTGAGCAGCATGGGCTCCCAGCCCGTGCTGGGCCACGTTTCCTTTGCCACAGGCGCCTTCTGCGAGAGCTGCCACGTGCTGCCGTGTCGCATCCCTCGTTCCCCTGGAGCTGACGGTGTGCTGGGGCATTTTGAGAGCAGCCAGGAAAGGCACCGTGCCGTGTGCCCCGCCTCGCCGCCTCCTGTGCCGGGGGCAGGCAGCGGCGTGTGAAAGAGCCCGTGTTTTACATACGGCCAGGCAGCCGGCCCAGGTGCAGCTGCGGGCTGCTGCGACAGCTCTGTGTGTCACGGGAAGGAGCACCGAGCTGGGGCAAGGACAAAAACAACGAGAGAGAGCACCTCTCCTTGGGAAACACGGCTCCGGTGTGCAGGGTCTGCTCTAGCCTCTGGATCCCAACGCCCTCTTGGCTCTACAACAAGCTGTGCCAGGGCCAGCTGAAGCACCTGTGCTCAGGCATGCTGGAAAAAACTAAAAAGCCCAGCCAGCATTAAACAAGATAAGGAGGCTTTTCCTATTTTCTGGTCCTGCTATGTGCCCACCATGCAGTGACAAGGTGACAGTGCCATGCTGTGACTGCCTTGCTCCTGCCCTGTGCTCGGACTGTTGGAACACCTTGGGTGTTTGTTGAGGGCTGGCAGTCCTTGAGGCACTATCGTTGTCTGCACTGGTCCGCTCAAAGCTCTCCTGAACCTCTGTGCTGGCCACTCTCCTAGTTTTGACAGCAGCGTTGGCATTGCCCCAGTGTGAATATTAAATTTTTTTCCCCCACTGCTGTTTCTTTTTCTTGCTCTTCCAGAGATCACAGACGTGAAGCCAGGGCTGCATTTGCCTCAGCTGAGTAACAACCTGTGGCTCGTGTGGTGGTGATCTCTCTTTAAAGACAGGCGTCAGAATCAACTAATTAATCCTCATTCCCCTGTGGGACTGAGGGGTGACTCAGTGCCTCATGCTGTTAACTGAACAGCAGGGGATCAAAGGCATTGGAGCTGGGGAAGCCCTGGGATAGCGCAGTGTCACTCTGTGCCTGCACACCAGGCACCTGTAAAGGCTCAGTCTTGCACACTTATCTCCAGGACTTTTTTTAGCCATGCAGGGGATTGAAAACTCTGCAACCTTAGAGGCAAGGCTGGAGCTGCCCTCACCTTGCTCTGGAGGGAGTGTTTTCATTTCTTGAGTTTGCCTTTTTACTTCTTCATTACAGCCCAACTTGGCCACCCTGAGCAATTCTCCCTCCTGACCTACAGGTCCTGCACTGTGCCCACCGTGTATCTGTCTGGGTGAAAGGCAGGCTTAGGCACTGCTGACATTGAGCTGCGGTGGTGATGCATGTCCCTCTTGGGCAT